CAAAAGAAAGCGGTGTTGAGTTCTGAATGTTTGTTATTTTCTATGACATTAGTAAAATAATTAAGGAGAGCTAAATATATTTACAGGAAAGCATTAAATGCATTTTATGTGTACAATGCAAAGTGAAGCTGTATCTGATTATTTATTTTGTAATCTCTTTGCCTGAGAGATATTGAAGGGGAACAAAATCGCAAAAATTGAGACAAGGTAGGGGGGTAGAATCAAATTCTCACCTGCATCTCCATTATCTTTTTCAATAAAGAGATTTAAGTAAGTCTTTTCACTTGAAGATGTTTCAACCAAAATCTAAAATAAAATCAACATAAAGGCTATTAGACTATTATTCTGTATTTTACTTGGGGAAAAAAAAAAAGGAAATACTAGTCATCAATTCAAATTTCAAACTTTTTTCTGCCATGAAGAACTGGTTCTTGTTTATATGTGCCATTCTTTAATATATTTTCCTTATTCATTACTTATGGGAACAAAAGTGTCCCTTTAATCTGTTTGTTTGTTTAAACTAGAAGATGTGTTCAAAACACAAGAATGTTTATATTTTGACATTTGGAAGAAAGAAAAAAACAACTCAAGAAATTCTGAAAACAAAAGGTCTTCAGTAAAATTAGAATAGAAAAATTACTGTACCTTAGTTAGCAAGGTTTGTTTTGATGGTATGTGAATAAGATGGAAATTGCCACTTCTCTCACCAACCACAAGAAATTGTTTTTCTTGACACGTACCAACTACATCCACATTAGTATCTGAAAAGTTCCATGGCAAAACATCAAATATGAAGATTTGTTTTTTATTAATAGGCATTCATATTTGAAACACAGGAATTGGACAACACAGCATCCCAGATTTCTTCAAAATGTTTAATTCTGATTAAACAAAGTACAAACAAAGGAAACGGCATACTGGGAGTGGTTGTGGTATCCGTTATTCCTATTTCAGTGAAAAGTTAGCAAGCATTCTTGTGGCCAGCAGGTAGAGGGAGGCTCTCCTCCCCCTCTACTCTGCCCTAGTGAGGCCCCATCTGCAGTGCTGTGTCCAGTTCTGGGCTCCCCAGTTCAAGAAAGATGAGGAGCTACTGGAGAGAGTCCAGCGGAGGGCTACAAAGATGATGAGGGGACTGGAGCATCTCCTACAAGAGGAGAGGCTGAGGGAGATGGTCTTGTTCAGCCTGAAGAAGAGAAGACTGCAAGGGGACCTAATGTATACTTACAAATATCTGAAGTGTGGGTGTCAGGAGGATGGGGCCAAGCTCTTTTCAGTGGTGCCCAGTGACAGGACAAGGGGCAGTGGGCACAAACTGAAGCACAGGAAGTTCCGTCTGAACATGAGGAAGAACTTCTTCCCTCTGAGGGTGACGGAGC